TTAGTAGAGGGGAGAAAGAAAAGAATTAAAAAAAAAAAATAAAAGGAAGAAAAGAAGTCTCTTAAGAGGTAAAAGTAAGCAAAAAAAAAAAAAAAGAAGAGATCATCAAACCAATTGTGTATAAGAAAAAAGAAAATGTTCTTTGATTCTACAGCCAATACCCCATTTCAGCGCTTTCTGAAGATTGTCTATGCTTTCCGTCTCATTGATTATCTTGTCTGTGTTGTGATTGGCATTGCTGGGTGGCTTATTGGCCGATTGGTACGGCCGTACTGCAGACCCTTCTCTTGGAATGATACCTCTATTGCATATCCTTACGGCGGCGCAGGAACTTTTCCCTCGTGGACGTTAGCACCAATTGCTATCCTTCCATGTGTAGTGTATGTTGTGATGGAAGTTGTTTCTGCTGTCCATTCAAAGAGCGGCGCGTCCGAATCCTTTATCTTGTCAGAAGACGATATTAATAACAATCAAGTAAACACAGCTACTTCATCAGATGGCACGACAAGGCGACGGGGACAAACTGGATCCCGCGAGAATGTATCTGCTGAGACAGAGGAAGCTGCAGTGGGTGATGTTGTTAAGCAAAAACGATGGTATATGGTTGTAGAAGTAGCAAATCATTGGGTTCTTGCACAAGCCTTTTCTGTTACATTGTGTCTACTTGTTATAGATACTACTAAACTATACGCTGGACGATTACGCCCGGACTTTCTTGCAAGATTAGAAAACGAAGGTTATAACTCATCTTCAATAGATGTGGATTGGTGTAGTTTGGCGCGTGAAGGAAGACTCTCATTCCCATCTGGACACAGTGGAATAGCTTTTGCATCTATTGTCCCATTGGTTATCTATCTTTTGGGCATATTACGGGCATTAAGTGGACGTTCACTTTGGCGTGGAGTAGTAAGCCTTATTCCACTTATTCTGCCTATAACTGTTGCTGTATCGCGTACACGTGATAACCGCCATCATTTCTCTGATATATTGGCAGGAAGTGTGATAGGAACTTGTTGTGCCATTTTTTCAGTAAAATGTCTTTTTACTTTTTCTAATCGAAAGAATATTCCTTTACCAAGTCGGTTGCAATATGGTTCTAAGAAAGAAAATTGGTGCCCTGGAAGGGGAACAGTCTAATCATAGTCATTGGATATAATATGAATAATAAAGTTTTTCCATGATTATATTTGTAGAAGTCATGGTAAAAGTACAAAATTTAGAGGGTCAGTCAACCCAATACTGTTTGCCCTAAGCGGGAGATGATCTAAAAGATGTATTCTTATATATATATGTATATATGGATAAATATATCTTTTTTTTCGTCATTACGGACATTTTGGTCGATGAAATTCTTCCTAGATTTACTGGGATACTTTATATTGGGCTTTGCAGTAATAAAGACAAAGCAGATAAAATTGTTTTTAGTTCCATCTTTGCATTTCTTTATTAAGAAAGGTAGGAGATGAACTCTTCTGGGTATGACTCACTTTGGGCTTTACAGATACTTTTATGTGCTTCTCTTATCGATATTTTTCTTTATAAGTAATACTTTGCTTATGAGTTTTTTTTTTGTTTTTTTCGTTCTGGGAGTTAAAATAAACGTACTTGGCGTTTTTTTTTTTTTATGGTTTTTATTTTTTACTTTTCTTCAGCGTTTTCAAGACTCCTTGTTTTTTTTTTTCCTCTTCTTTATTCTTTATTATGTATTCGAAATACAAAAAAGTTAACGATAATTAATAATTAAAAGGAAAGATGATGTCTATTGTGTGGGAGTGGCGAATCCTTGATTACGCTACTTGCATCGTTCTGGGTTTTGTTGGATGGCTTGTGGGTTCATATGTCTGGCCGCATTGTCGTCAATTTAGCTTTGACGACTCTAGCATCAAGTATGACAGGCACGAAGGGGAAACTTTTCCCACTTATTCTGTCATTATTGCCATTGCCCTTATTCTCTTTGTGTACGTTGCTGGAGAGTATTATACATGGAGAAGGCACAGTAGACGCATCTTGTTGCGTTACCTCAATGCCTGGGTACTTGCACATGCCTTCAGTATCTGCCTTGAGTTTTGCATTGTGAACCTTTCCAAGCTGTACGCCGGGAGACTTCGACCGGACTTCCTGCAGCGAATGGCCGACGAGGGCATCACCATCGCAACGATTGGCGGCTTCACAGAAACTCAAGTCTGCCACGCGGCCCGTGAGGGGCGACTGTCGTTCCCGTCCGGCCACAGCGGCACGGCCTTCGCCGGCTTTGTGCCGCTCTCGCTGTATCTTCTCGGCCTCACGCGGGCCCTGCAAGGCGGTGCCTTCTACCGCGCCATCCTCGCCGTGCTGCCGCTCTGTTTTCCCATCATCACCGCCATCTCCCGCACACGCGATAACTATCATCACTTTGCAGATATCGTGGCAGGATCCCTTATTGGCTCCGCATGTGGCATTTTTTCAGTTTTACTGTCATTTGTACCAACACGGTCAGGGAGGTGGGCACTGCGAGAACCGGAATCTACAAACGAAGAACGATCGAACTCTCCAAGATGTGACACAGAAGAACAAGAGAGAGAACTGGTCAACACTTTGTCGCCAAACTGCCGCAGAGAAACGGATTTACCTGTTTAGGGGTTATCTATTCGCCTAAAAGAGTATTTTGGGGAGTATTATGTAATACCATGTATACCGATATATTTATATACCTGTTTGTAAGCAAGTATTTAAGTTATATGGTGTTAAATATTGTGGATTCCCTATGAGGGAGGTTAAGTCTTATATCCTTTTTTTTTTTTTTTTGAAAAAAAAAATATACACAACACCAAATGTATCTGTTTTCTTTTTTTTTGTTTATTATTATATTCTTGCTTAAGATTAACTACTTTTTTGACTTTTTTTTTCTCTGATGCTTTGTCCTACTTTGGGAACACTACTGTTCATTTTCTTTGGAGCATTGAGAATGGATTATACCATGTTTTTCATTTGTTTTGTATTGTCTGTAATATATAGCGTCCGGAAAAAAAAAGTTATCTATAAAAAGAAAAATATAGAAAGAAAAATGGCCTTATTTGTTTTTCTCTCCTCGTTTTTTTTTCGTGTCTTTAGGTTTTTTTTTTTTTTTTTTTCTATGGCTTAAAGCAAGAAAAAAGAAAAGATAACAATAACAACACTTAAAAAAAAAAAAAAAAAAAATAGCCTATATAAACTAATCTAATTAGTTTAGATTGACAATGCTCCATTCTTCAAGACGCGTGCCATCTATTTTATCGTTTGTATTTGTACCATCTCTAGTTGTTGCTAGTCGCTCCTTTGTGCAGGGTGGACCGACACCTCCAAAGCTGCAAGAAGGCATTGAGCCTATGAAGAAACTCCGCTCACACCGTGCTGAGATGGATGCACGCTTTGCAGAGGAACAACGTGCAGAGCGTGAGTTCTACGCACGTACACCGCACATCCCCGCACCGCTGCCGCAGAATAGTCATGAAAAGGGAAAGTATGGTATGCGAAGACGTATTAAGGTGCAACGAGAGGATAATACCATAGACCTCCATGCGTTAAATGAGGCAGTGGAAACTGGAAACCATGCAATGCGCAAAGGATTATAATACTCTCCATGATTTTTTTTATTTTATTTTTTGGTTTTTATTTATTAGTTTTTTATTTTACATTCCCCTCTTTTTTTTCCTTTTCTTACGTACTGATTCTATGAATATTTCTTTCTAAATTCCTTTTCTGTTGATGTTATATTTCTTGATTTCCCTCCACCACAGCTTTTGTTTTCTTAAGTAACTGTAGGGGTTAGGAAATCATAACCCCCTGATATCCCTTTTTTATTTTTCTCACTGCTTTCCCTTCTCTGACGACTTCCTCTTTCCGTTCTCTCACTACACACCTACTTTCACATTTTACACACAAATACATACAGCTAGAGATACAGATCCACACATAAATGCTGCGGCGGACTGTGCGGCGACTCGGGGGGCGGTGGCGGCGAGTTGTTCCCAATTTCTAAAGAAACTGCGCATCTCTCGCCCACGTGGTTGATGTCGCGTCCCCCGCAGCCTGCGCCCGGGAGGGGACGGTGTTTTGTCGATATTACGCGGCCGGCGGTGATCTCTAAATGGCAGTCAACGCAACCAGAAGTACACTCCGTAAAAGTAGTGCGTATGGACGAAGCGCTTCCACATAATATAGCTTCCACGAGGCCCTCAAAGAGGGTGGTAGAGGCAACAGTAGCAGGTCTGCATAGTGCACTTGGTGAAAAGAAACCATCAGCTCTTAATAGTATAGCAATGAATAATATAACGGCCAAGAAGGAATCTGAAGCTCGAATGAAGACAAGAGACTATGCAGAACATAAACACCCGGCGTACGTACGACCAGGGTGGGAACGAAAAATAGATGTTGTAAACCTTTCAGAGTGGATGTACGCACGTATTCACGCTCATCGCAAACTTATCAATGACAATGCTAAAGGATATGAAAAGGAGTATATGATGTGGGAAAAAAAGCCAGATCCACCAGCAGTGAAAAAATAGTTTAGTATTTTGAAAAGTAGTTAGATAGTTTATAAGTGAGAGATAGCGAGAGAAAAAGAGAGAAGAAAGAAAAAGTATTTGTAATTATTATTTCAACGGATATTTGGGTGGGTATATACCTAATCATGGTAATAAAGTTTACCCATTTTGTATGCATATGTGTAGTGTTTGGGATCACCAATGATATTATAGTATTTGTATCTCTTTCTCTGAGGTAATGTAGGGTGTGGGGGAATTGGGGGAAACAACTATAGGATTGGTTGTAGTTAGGGTGTTTTTTTTTTGCATATTCTTATGATCAATATTTATTCTTTTTTTTTTTTTTCTTTGTTTTTGTTTTTTTGAGTCTTGATGATGTCAGGCATGCATTCTTGTAGAAAGTTTACGGCAGTTTTAGCACTATTTTGAGTCACCAAGCTGTTGGAACAGGGGAACCAAAAAAAAAAAAAATTTCTCTTTTAATTTCTAATTCTTTTTTTTTTTTAATCCGTATCTGTACGCGTCCACGTTTATGGGTCACATATATAGTGGGGGAATAAAGTTTGTACTTGCCACAGGTAGTATCACACACACATCAATACAAGAAGAGCACACAGAGTACTGAATAAGAGAGAGAGAGAGAGAGAAAAACAATTAAGAGAGAAAATAAGGCAAATAAGAAAAATTGTTTGAATTTTGACTCTCTAGTCAGAGCCGAGAGTGAGGTTCGAGAGAGTTTGTGCTGCCTACTAAATAGCATTTTTTTTTTTTTTGTTTTCTTGATACGGTTTAATCCAAGTGGACAACAAGGTGTTGGCTTGTCTGCTTCTTTCTTTCTTGTGCACGTGTATCTATCAATGTCTGGTACAAAATGGACATCACCAGTATTCATTAGTCTTCTTGTTCTGGTGCTACAGAACAGTATGTTAGTTATCATGACACGGTATTCCCGTACAAACGTGCCCCCTGAAATGCGATATCATACTTCGACGCTTATACTTAATCAGGAAATTGTAAAGATGCTTTTTTGCATTATAATATTTATTGTGGAAAATGATTTTATATCCCGACCTCCTCCTGAGATTCAGGGAAATACTGTTGTAACACCCAGTTCTCTAACACTTTTGTGGCGAGTTGTATTTCAAAAAGAAACATTGAAAATGTCGGTACCTGCTGCTCTTTTTACTCTACAAAACTATCTCATTTTCATTGGGCTTTCAAACCTTGATGCAACGACGTTTCAGGTGTGGTCACAGACGAAGCTTCTATCCGCTGCGGTCTTCTCTGTTGTCATGCTTGGTCGTCGTCTCTCCATGATGCAGTGGATGTCGCTCTTTGTGTTGACGCTTGGGGTTCTGCTCACACAACAGCAGCCGCAGCAGCCGCAGCAGCCGGAGAGTGGCGGCGTGGCGATGAAGGAACCGGCGCGTCTCTCGCAGCAGCCGCTCCTCGGTGTGGCGGCGTGTGTACTCTCGGGCCTCTCGTCAAGTTACGCCGGTGTTTATTTTGAAAAGGTCGTGAAGACAACAACACCATCGCTGGCGGTGCGGAATATTCATCTCTCACTCTTTGGTATTCCCTTCGCCGCCCTCTCGCTGCTTCTTCTCGACGTTCTCCCGCGCCGGCGGGGACCCAACGCGCTGGAGTTTCACTACTGGCGCGGCTACAATCAGTGGCTCACCATCGCCCTCGTTGCCGTACACGCATTCGGTGGATTGCTTGTCGCCATCGTTGTGAAGTATGCGGATAACGTTGTGAAGGGATTCGCCACAGGTGTTGCCGTTATTGTTAGCGGTGGACTTTCCTTTATTATTTGGGGACAGATACCATCCTCATCCTTTGTAACCGGGTGTATGCTCATCACATTTGCCACAGTGATGTACCACAAGTTTGAAGATCGTACACAGTCACGTTGATATGTAGTGGTTTACACTTTACAAGAAATGAAGAAAATAAGAAAAGGGAGGAAGAAGGAAATGAAAAGAGATGAAAAACAAAATGTGTTATCTCAGCAAAAATTGTAACGAAGGAAAAGTTTTCTCTTCTGAGCAAAGAAAAAGATGTATTCGTGGCGAGAAAATAAACGAGAGATGAGGTGTTTTGTGACTGGTTGATAGGGGATGTTAAAGTAACATAGTTGGTGGTGAGAATGGGTTTTTGTAAATGTGGCTTCATCAAAATGATGATGATGATGATGCTTGATATGGATAAAATTTCAGAGATTTTCTTACTGATTGTTATGTTTTTTTTTTCGTTTTTTATTTTATTTTATGTTTTAGCATCCATTGCTAGATTATTTTTTTTGTTTCTTTTCTTTTTACCTTCTTGTATATATATATATATATATATATATATATATATATACACTATAGAAGGGAAAAAAGCAAAGGAGGTTCTACTTGTGTAGAATTCATGAACGTTGTTCCCTTAGATCCTAGAAGTGAGTTTCGACGTCGTCTGCGTAATGTTATAGACATAATAGATGAGTCACTCTTGCTAAAGAGGCGTGGCATGAATGTCAAACCTTTTTCTAGAGCTCAAAGTGAGAGTCCACACTTAAAGGATTCGTCACGTATTGTCCCGTGTATATCGGCATGGTCGGAACTCCGAACAGAGCAACGTCGAGAGGAACTACATAAACAACGTGAAGAGGCTGAGGAACTGCTGCGGACCTTAAAACATGCTCAAGAACGACGAAAACTGCAACGAAACGTGTTAACAGAGATAAACACCTCTTCTTCAACAATGTTGAGATCTCCTTCACGTTTAGATGAGACTGTTGAAAAAGAAGAACAAACTGAAGTGAGAAAATTGTTCTCAAATCGTCAACCACCATTATCACCACCATCACCACCAATAGTGCCGTCTGCTCCGCCTGATGTAGAAGAAAAGCACGAGGCAAAAAATAGTAAAGAGTTATTGAGATCGGATGAAAGTATATTACAAGTAGCCCTTGTTGAAGAGGCAACACGACAACGTCTTGCGGAGCGGCGAGCAGCAGAAGAGGAATCATTGGCAAAACTGCGTGCGTTACGTCGGGAAGTAATGAAAAAACGTCAAGAAGCTCTGGCTCATGCAGAGGCACAAATTGAACAGGCCGAGTCTGAGCGCATTGCCAAAGTAAAGCAACTAGAGCAAGAGACTCGTCGTTCTGTAGCGGAGGAAGAAAAACGCTGTACCATCACTGAGGTGGAACTTCGTGCGATGGAAGTTCACGCGAATGCACTCGCTCAACTTCGCTCTCAAACAGAATTTGCATTACCATCTTCTGTTTTACCCGTTCGTCCTCCTCCTACTCCTCCTTCTCTTGTTCATCCTCAAATGGATGTTGTTTCTTTTCCTTCTCATTATTCTTCTAATTATTCATCTTTACCCCATAACACTGCTCAAAACTACAATTATCATAACAGTTCTGCACAAGTAGCAGCTGTTAGAGGAGTTGGGTCCATTGTCAGTGGTTCCTTATCTCCAGAGCGTACGGGCAAAGTGATGACTACAATGCACTCAACACCAACACATCATTCTTCATCTCCTTCAACACTCCAGCGAAACATTACAACTGGTTCGGCAGGTAAATTAGCGGAGACACTACAGTCGTCTTCTCATACACCGCATAACTCGGGAAAGGTAAAGGAAGGAAAAATTAAGCCAGAGCGATTGTTTATATCTCCTAAGAGACACTTAGATGAAGAAGTTCCATTAGAATCACCACCACGTTTATCATCATCCTCATCATCTACAATTAATGTAACAGCAACACCATCGCCATCATCATCTTCGACGTTGATCCCTGAAAAGGAAGATACACCACAGCATAGTTTATCACCTACTTTTAAACCTCAGGTACGTGAGATATTGTCTCCCACTCCTATTTCACATAATGATAGTGTTAAAATGAATACCTCAGAAATACTAGTATCCAGATCTGGGTCATTTGCAACACTGCACGGATGTGGTATCGTTGCGTATGTTCTTACTTCTGAAGTGGGTGTAATTCCAGTTCTACTGCGTCTCTCAGCTGATTCACAGGAGTTGCTCCTTCACATAGGACCTGTAAAAAGAGATAGCAGTCCATCTAAATCTTCTACCAAATCTTCGGTTAAAGAGTCGAAACAAAGAATATTTTCTCCGGTTCATCATCAAGAACAAAATAGAGAATATGAAAGTGAGATGGGATGTAGCATGCGGCGTGTGGAAGAAGTGCACCACTTTGCTCTTTTGCGTAGTTGTTGTCTTTGTCCTTTTGGGAGTATTGGAGCAGATTCATCAAGGGAAGTTGGTGGCGTTTTGTGTGGCTCTATTGCACGGCGTTTGTTAAGAAAACTCTATTGTACATTCTTTACCCAACTGGGGGAATCTTCATATCGTGTTTTTCTAGTTTCTTTCAACGCATCACATCACGCAAAAGGAGAATCTACTCGTTCACCTCGAGTAATTAATCCTAATACATCTACATTACTAGTTCTTCAGTTTCGTAACCGTCAGGATTGGGCTGCATTTCTTATGTCAGCTGGAGAGGCGACGAGATCACTAAATGGTGGTGTTCCCTTAACGTATGGACGAGCACTGTGGATATTAGCGGCATATCTATGGCAAAGACGACGAAGTTGTACTTCTTCTTCTTCATTATCCCCAATAAGAAGAGAATCAGTAGATTCAACATCAAAAATACCAGGAATGAAGTGTGTAAAACATTTTAGGATGGTTCCACAATCGATACTCTCTTTTTCTTCTAATACAGGGATAGAATCTTCACATTCTCAACATATCGTCTCTGGAAATCGTAGAGAACATGAAGGAAAGCGCATCTCCACACCACGTTTCATTATCCCTCCTCAACGTAGCAATAGTAGCATAAAGAAGAACAATACCAGAAATAAAACTAGTAATGATGTCGTTGAGCCACATTTACGGCGGGGTAGGCGGTTTGGTCTGCGTACAACCACTAATTCTATTTTAACTTCGTCCCCACCCAGAAGCAATCCAGCCAACCTCATGAGGTACAACTACTAAAATTGTTTCTGTACATTAATTAGAATGCCTAATTGTTTTGTGTTGGTGTTTTTTTTTTTTTTTTTTATT